TGTACCACAGAGGTCATGAAACTTATTATGGTAAATATTTCTAGGTTATACCATAAGAATATTACCAAACTGATCTTGCTGAATTAAGTAATTTTTCTATATAAATAAAAAGAATTATATTTCTTATGAAATATCGTCAGACTCATCCATCCTTCCTAGATAACGATCTGAAACAATACTCTGAATAAAGATGACTGATTTTCATACGGTATTATATCTTCAGTGACCTTTTGTGACCCCAGTTTCAGTGATCCCGTTGACCGGATATCAAGTGTCGTTTTCATATTAATTGCCAATTTAGGTTTATCTTTAAAGCCTCATAAAGTCAGCATTAATATTAATGACACTATGCTCAAAGGATGTTGCCTTCTAGTCTAAAGAGCATCTAAGCCATTGTGTTGCCAATATAGAATAATTTACCCCAAATTGAGGATATTTTGTAGAAATAAGGCATAAAAATTATTAATCTTTTACATGGATTTTAACGAAGACCTCGAAGGTTTTTTAGACATATTGGTAATAGGTGGGAATAAAAAGTATAACATACCGTTTCAAATTTGTACTGAACTTTAATCTTTTTTTTTATAACACAGGGGACAAACGACCTTGCTGCTCACCTGTAAATGATTACCGCCGCCCATGAGCACCCGCAACACCAGGGGAATTGCCAATACGTTGTCGGCCTTTTAAAAAGGAATAAGCTCTTTTCTTGAAGATTTCAATATCGTATCGGTTCGGAAATACCATTGCTGGAAGGTGATTACATAATATGGTTGTGTGTGGCAAAAAGTTTCTAGAAAACCGCACTGTGGAGGACCGCCATTCATCCAAATGATCAGGATGGTATTTTAGTTTCTGGCGATACGGCGATGAAACTCAACAGCTAGTATTAATCAATCTACAATTACGGGTAATATATACGTGAAACAATGTGATTTCCGTAACAGTTTATCAGTTAAACTGTTACTAAAAACAGAAGGCACAAACAGGAAAATATCTAATAATCACTGTTTTCAATTCTATTACGATTATCACTTTCGGTTTTTCAAGAGTAGTGGGGCACAAAATGGCGGCCTATGAACAGTGACTTAGATAAAAAAGGCATTATAGACGTGCGCTTGTGTCTAATCTGATAAAGTCCAACAAGACAAAAAGGTATTATATTTAGGAATGGGCGTATTTCTAATATGACAAATCCACATCCGATCCGACAGTACATTTCCTCACATGTCTTCCAATTACAGACAGAGTTCAGTTACATTTTTTTCACATTTATACCGCAAATTGCTAAAAAAATGCCCAAAAATAAATATATTTGTATATATATATATAATATATCCTGTACCTACTATATTTCATTGTTACGGACTCGAAAAAATGGTTTGTCATTTAACAGATACGAATATAACTCGATTACATTGATATCAATCCTAATTCATTTAGCAGACAGAGTGGTAACTCTACTCTACGTTCGAGTTGCCAACTCTAAATATAAAATACCAAGATTAGAGTTGCTTATATATAAGTGAAAATAGGTGAAATAATATTCAAATAATTAATATAATCATATTTTTAAAGAAAGTATTTGAATAAAATTATACGCGTTGAAGACTAGATATTAAAAGAGACGCGCGAATTTAAAAACTAAAAATCTCATGGCGCTGCTTAAAAACTCACCACTCGCGTGAATAATCCGTTCAGTAGTTTTTTGCGTGAAAGAGTAACAAACTTCCATCCATACTCACAAAGTTTCACGTGTATAATATTAATAAAGGACTACTAAAATTCATTTACAACACCATCAAGTCTAGTCTAGCTAAGCAGAGCTTGTGTTACGGATACTAAATAATTGATAAAAATTCTTAAAACCTTTTTTGTTAGTTCTATATAAATCATGTACATAATATAAATAGACCTAGGTCATTATAAACAATCTTCCTCATAATTATATATATCTTTATATATTTTTAACACGTATGTATATATGTATATTAATTTATTCAATATATATCTTATATATTCATCGGTTCATTGGTTTGGTTCAACAAGTCATCGGTTGTATTTGCTAAAGAAACATATTGATACATATAGTAATAAATTTGCAAAAGTTCTCGCTATTACCCTACAACGCTTCCTGATTATATCCTAAGGTTAGCTGGGAGAGAATGCCACACTGCATTAAGGACGCCTGTTGTAAAAGTTCTTTATTTGTTTATTAAAGGCTAAATAAATAACCACAAATGTTATCAAGCCAGAAATCTAACCCGCGACGATCAGTTGTAAAGCGGTTTGCTAAACCACTACTAGACCAGCGAGGCCGTAAATATAACATATAAGATGACGTCCTCTAAACAGTTTATGAAGGACAACAAGGATATTGTGAATAGACTTGGACTGTAGCCAGATTACTTATAAAGCACAGTATGTTATATACTACAGTTTAGGAACACTCTAGAACATGTCGTAAAAAATATATTAATGTTATAAAAGTTTGGAAAGATGTTCCCATGTTTATTATTATTTTTAGTGGATCATAATGGATTGGTCTTTCCGCCTGCGCTACCGGTTTACGCTAACGGGGTACTAGTGGAGGATGAAAGGATTCAGATCAGTTAGCCGAACGTGACAAATTCACCGGGAATTTATCACGATGGTTTCCAGGAGGTACCGCATGGAGGTCAACCTGACATGGTACATTGCTAGCAATGGGATAAAAAGTCCACATTACTAACAACCCCCATGTTCATTATTCATGCTTAAACATTATAACATGTAGAGTTAGCCGACGTGGTCGATAGAGATAGTGATATAAAAAAAATTACGTGTACAGGTTAGCAAAAATCCCTACTTCCTTACTAATATTATGTATATATTATGTAGATCTCTGTTTGTCTATCACGCTAAAACTACTGGACCGATTCAAGTCAAATTTGTTACACAGATGATTTAGACCTCATGAGAAAGGAGATAAGTTATTTTTGAATGCGAAAAAGGGGTTGAAAAAGATGAAAGTTTGTATGAAAATATCGTCTTTTTGGAAGTTAGTAGCTGGAGACTGATATTTTAAGCTGTTGATTAAATATAAATGAAGATTTCTTTCTATATCTATACTACTCCCATGCCACCTTCCACTTTTGTTTTTTTTTCTCTACCCAAAGGTTGAAGAGAAGTTTGTTTGGAAGAGATTTCTTGCTAGCTATAAGATCGCCTTTTGTCCATATATATCTCTTGACTGTTGTGTATCTTTTGTTTTTACACAAACTTGGTGCAATTAAGAGTTTATAAATAAATAAATACATATTGGTTTTCTTAAATAAATTTTAGAAATAAGAATTATCCTTACTAATATTATAAATGTGAAAGTAAGTGTGTCTGTCTCGCTTTCACGCCAAAACTACTGAATCGATATAATTGCATTTTAGTATAAAGATAGTCTAGACCCTGAAGAAGCATATAGCCTACATTTTTATTGGAAAAAAGGATTGTAAACGGGAGAAGAAATATTTTATGGAAGATTTAACAAACTTGACACTTATACTTGGCTTTTGATTAAATATAAATAAATATGACATTCAAAGTTTGATGAAATGAAAATTCCTCATTCGTAGTCCATTCCATGGGGACATACTCGCAGGCATGGCTAGTGATTTTATAAATATTGATATAGCAGATGCGTGGAATCAATAATCTGCTATTTCCTATCAATATAAACGAGTTTGCAAGTCGTAAAATTGTATATAAACCGAATATCTTCGAATAGGTGTTTACAAAGCGATGCCCGTTCAGGGTCGGAGTATTTAGGAATGAAACGAGCGAGGATACGGAAAATGGCGCTCCCGAGTCAAGCCATAAAATGTACGGCGCCGTGCGTATGTACAAGCTACAAACTGTCTCGGAAGCTGAATGTTTATAACTTGCAATCCATATACATATAATTATTGACGACATTGATCTAGTCTAGTGGTTTAACATACTGCTTTACGAGTACTTCAGATGATCGCAGATATGTATATCATGTATGTATTTACAAAAAAAGTATGAAGTATTTATATCAGTTGTCTAGTACCCGAAACACAAGCTCTGCTTACTGTAGGACTAGATGGCGCAATGTTAATCGTTCAGAGTTATTTATTTACGTATTTATATATTAATGATACTTCTTCTTTATGTAAAATTTCATTAAAATCCGGTCAGTCGATTTGTTACCTTGTCAAGGTAACAAAATTATATTGTATATGTTTTTTATATAAAGGAAAAAGATCTCAATGTGTCAAAAGGTATAAAGATATCAAGGAAGGACTATATAGGATACTTAGCACGGATATTTCATAAAAAAAACAGTAATTATGAAGATACAATTAATGTGGTCTAGTTTGTATAGACGTTTACTATTACATAAGAAAAAGTTATATTTTATGAAATTACATAGGTGTTATGTTGCGGAAGTTGCATTTAATTAAATTCAAATTCAAAATATCTTTATTCATGTAGATCTATTACAGGCTCTTATGATATGTATGAGACCACAAATATTCAGTGTGGAAACTTGACCACCGCTACTAGATGCATTACCACAAATATTCAGTGCGGAAACTTGACCACCGCTACTAGATGCATTACCACAAATATTCAGTGTGGAAACTTGACCACCGATACTAGATGCATTACCACAAAGATTCAGTGTGGAAACTTGACCACCGCTACTAGATGCATTACCACAAATATTCAGTGTGGAAACTTGACCACCGCTACTAGATGCATTACCACAAAAATTCAGTATGGAAACTTGACCACCGCTACTAGATGCATTACCACAAATATTCAGTGCGGAAACTTGACCACCGCTACTAGATGCATTACCACAAAAATTCAGTATGGAAACTTGACCACCGCTACTAGATGCATTACCACAAAGATTCAGTGCGGAAACTTGACCACCGCTACTAGATGCATTACCACAAAGATTCAGTGCGGAAACTTGACCACCGCTACTAGATGCATTACCACAAAGATTCAGTGCGGAAACCACCGCTATTGGATACGTTAACCTTCCTACTGGTGATCAAACTCCGACTGTTATCAGACACGTATATCACCTCTAAATGAGGCATCATCAGGTCCCAGTCTACCAGCCCCCAGTCTGCAATACATGAATCATCTGACCGTTGTTGGGTTACATTATCACAGTTTTCATATAGATTCCCTAAGGTTTTTCCTAAATTTTCTGTTACCAATGTTCATCAGGGATAATGTAGATTACGAATGTTAAAATAATCTTTCAAAGCGGTCAAATAGCTTCGTAGCCTATTCAATGTAAACTCATAATATTAATATAGATACTTAGTCTTGAAATAAGCAGACGAAATTGCATGTAAAAGCTAGTAAAGAAAAATAGATATACCTAGACCTTTTTGTCGCTATTCACACATCCGCGACGCTCTCTTCTGTTATATTTCACTCATCCTTGCCATGCTTTTAGGTCATTACTCAAGGACCGTTGTCCTTAGACAGTAAAATATTTGCTTTGTAGTACGAACGTATACATATATACACATATATAATATTCTTAAAATATAGACATATGTTGTCACGGATTTTTTTTTATAAATTTGAATGGAGAACAATTCCGTCGTACATATTTTTTGCATAACTTTCACCGTTTACACATCGGAAGCACTCAAAATGTTAATTTTTTGCCATATTTTTAATTGCTGTACCGATCCTATTGGTACTAGCGTCATGTTAGCCTATAGCACTTAAGGATAATGTACCTTCTAACAGTAAAATAATTTTTAATATCAGATCATCGGAATCCCAAACAGATCACCCCGAACAACAAATGTATATTAGTATAAAAAATTCCACGCGGGAGAAGCCGCGGGTAACAGCTACATATAAAGCGGAGACCCGATAATACTTAGTATAATTGAATTGCGTTGAAAATAATAGGCTAATTAACAAATACAATGGGAGTTGAACTGAAATATAATACGATTCCCGCCTTTTGTCAGCCACGCCAAATGAACCCCTAATAAATGTTAATCAATGGAGATTCTAACACAATAAAATACCTTTTGTTTAACATTATTAAAACAGTTTGTGGAAATATATACGAATTAAGTATACGTATATTATCAACTGTAACACATTCAACGGCACAGTTGAGAAGTTAGAATAGAATAGAAAATCATTTGTTCAAATAAACTTACATTGAAACACTTTTGAATAGTCATCACATTTTTTTTAATCTATCGCTCATTCGATAAGCTGTCTCAACAAAAGAAGAATGAACAAGAAATTTGCGTGTTGCTCTTTTAAATAATTTTATTGTTATTTTAGATTTGATGTTAGAGTGTGTGAATACAATTTACCAACTGGCACTAATTTAAATAAATACTCAAACAGAGAAATTACCATAATAATAATATGCCTGTACAATTCACACAGCGCCATCTATTTTCAAGCTAATTTGAGCTTGTGTTATGGGTACTAGACAACTGATATAAATTAGATATTATTTTTTGTATATACTTACATAATATATGTCACTTGTACATTACAATTTGTACATTACATTGTAATTTGTAGTCTATTTTCCGCATTTACTGATAGCCTCGGTGGACTAGCGATTTAGCACACCGCTTTAATTCCGATGGTCGCGGATTCGCTTCTAACGACGATACTAACATTTGTGTTCATGAATATGATTGATTATTGGTCTGTATGTTTTCTGTGTTTAAGTATATTTATTGATTGTCTAGATTCCATGACACAAGTTTTGCTTAGGATTTAATGAGCGTTTTGCGTTGTGTCTATTGTCCAAAAATATTGATATTATTATTAATACTTGCTACCTACATCATATACGATGCTTGCTTGTTTTTCCGGATACTGAAAAAAATGTTTCTTTATAAAAACACCACTTGAGTTTATTTTCATTTCTTGTTCAACACAACAGGTGCGTAGTAATAGCGTATTAACGACATTGAACGAGGTACTTTGTAGGTAAGCCTACTTTACAAGTATAAATACTTGTAAAGTAAGTAATATTTTATAATATCGAGGACGATAATAAAAGAAGTAAGTTAATCAAAACTTTATACCTCCATGGACAATTTTACACGTTATTTTATAGATGTGTCTCTTTGCACGGAGAATTTTGTTTTTTTTTTTCGGACTATTCTACTGCCGACTGACCTATACAGCTTCACCGAACGATAGGGGGCGAATGCAGATGGCACTCCAAACCCGCGGAAGGACTTATTTAGCAGCTAAAGGCCAACTGCCGCCTGACGGATACGACTTTAGTCTTAGAGCACCGCTTGGGATTCGAACTCGACTCAGTCCACTGTAATTTCGATCCCCGTTTTGAATTTGACGGAGGATCGATTAGAGGAGTGTATTAGACAAGTTTCAAAGAAATAATTCATGTTTTAAATAAAATAAACTAACCATATACTGCGATTATTGCTAGCTTGATACCCTATATAGCGTTCTTTCATTTATGTATTTAATGTGAACTTCTAAATAATGTATTTTTATAGTTTTTTTTACAAAACAGTACAGTACAGTACAGTTTTCATTACAAATAAATAAATAGACAAATAACTAAACAGAACATTCTATTCTCTCTTTAAGGTTTCATATTAAAACGACATAGAGGAATTTAGGAAGTTGGTAATCACAAAATACATTGTTTATTATTATTAGTTAATGTAACTGTAATGTAGGTAATAGAGGTAAAAAGTGCATATAGTGAATATATTAAATATCAATAAACAGGCTATCGAAAAATGATAGGGACAATAACGGATCACTGTTACAATAAACACTTATTTATTGTTCTTTTTTTATTATCTTAAACAGATAGCGTCTAAAATGTACACGCGGGCATGAAAGTGTACTGCAATGAGGTAGGTAGTAAGCACAAGTGCTGTTAGTATAAAAGATATACCCCTCTAATCCAAATTTTACGTTACGTTTGTAATTATATTGAGCCATGAAAATGGCAACATAATGGATTCTTAAGTTAAATTGCCGAATGTAATTACCGACTTAATATTAACGCCTACAGTTTGAAGAGAATGGTTAGCAGTGTTGCCAAGATTGTTTGGGCAAGCCTACTAGACTAGAAAGCTACAGAGTTTTTAAAGGTAATTTAATGATACCACTAGAAAACCAATTATAATTTTGCATAAAAAGCCAGCATTAATTTATAATTTAGTATTAGTTTACCTTCAATAAATAAGAATACAAATTCAAATCCATTTTAAATTAAAATCAATCGCAATTTTACATTTCGGTAAAATATTAATTTAACGAATGCTTTCCGGTTCGAAACTGCTTATTTAAATTGGTTATGTTTTTATTACTTGTAAGAATGCATTAAAGTTTTTAACTAAACTTTAAATTCGTAGAAAGTTAGATAAATTAATATTAAGATAAATTTATTTTAAATTATAATTAATTTTCTACGCATTTTCAAAATCGATTTTTTTATGCTTCGCAGAAATCGGATATTAGTTTACCTGCCCAATATTTTCCCACTAGAACTGGTTAGTGGATACCACTGGAAACTCATTTTGTACACTAAAGAGAGTGTCAAATTTAACATTAGTCGTGACACCACTAACATGGCAACACTGATAGTTATGTACATATATCGTCTTAGTATTATAAGTTGCTGATAAGTTTGTTGGTACAGAAATAGAAATGGGACCCATCCGTCATATTGTAATATTGTTCTAGCCAGTTTCCCTAACTATTGACATACCATATCTCTGTCACACACTGTCGCGTAATTCCTCCCGCCAACAATCTATATCTATATGTGTATAATAAAAATGTACCTGAACGCTGTCTATATATGAAATATACATGAGAAAAACCAAAACCAACCCAAAGATCGTTAGAATTTTTGTCTGTTTTTCTATGCGTACAAACGTTAATCTCAGAAACGACTTAACTAATTTGGATGCTGTTTTCACTAGTATATGATATGATATGCTTCACTTAAAAAATAATGTTTTTTTCTTATTCCAATTGGTTAACAAAATAAAGCTCGATTTTATAACATTATAAAATCGAGCGATGAACTAGTATATGAATGAAATGAAACTGGTCATCTGCTTGACCTAAATTATAAAAAACATCTGTATAAATAGATAAGATAAATAGTTTATATGTTCGTTACGAGTCGCGCATTACACTTTTATAAATGTAGCCCTTATCATTGCAATCCACTGGACATAGGCCTCAAAAAAAGCTTGCTATTAGGTACGATCTTCAGATAAATAAAATATAAACATCTTTCCAAAATTTGACTTAAGATTAATTAATTGATGATATATATATATATGTATTTACAAAAAAAAAACTATTTATTTATAACAGTTGTGTAGTAATCATAATACAAGCTTTTATCTTGGGACAAGATGGCGCTGTATGAATTATCCTGAGATGTTATTATTATTATAATGTGCCTAATAATATACCACTAGAGCATTATGCTCAGATGATTTTTTATTACAGTGAAGTATAAATACCGGCAACCGTTTATCTTCTAAATCGTACCTTGTAGGGTTGCCACCCGTAAGATGATAGACGTCCTAGGTATAATGACAACAGTGATATGTTAAATTTTAGACACTGTGATGTCGTATTTCATGCGACGACGGTTACGCTTTCAATTAGGTATGCCGCCAGCCTGTTTACCATTCAAATTACTTCAAAAAATAGGATAGAACCCATCTTTGCAAAAAAGGCAGTATGCAAAACAGTTAAGTCATAGAGATCGTAATTATGAGGATATATACACTTTCAAATATGTATGCCGTCAGCTTGTTTACCATTCAAATTTCTTCAAAAAAATGGAATGGAACCTGTTATCTTTAGAAAAAAGGTGATATGCTAAACAGGTAAAATACAGAGGTCGTAATTATGATGATATATAAAGTTGATGTACCACTACGAAATAATTAAATACGAGATTTTCCATGGTATTTTGATTTCCTGTGTACGAAAAAATTTTAGAATTGTTGGCAACCCTAGTAGAATAGAAACGGCGTCCTGTTTGCCGTCAGCCGATTACTAAAAGGAAATACAATTTTTGTTTTCCGTTTTTTCCCCAACACCCTTCATATTGGAGGTCGCTTGATA